GCGGGAAGAGGCTGGTGGTGCGGGGCTGCTGCCAGGAAAGGCTAACCTCTGGCTGGAGACCACAAACCCTTGGTGACAGTGGCCAGCCTGGTTTTCCAGGGCCGTGGATAAAATAAGCAACGGCCTAGGACAGCAGACAGTGGAGGAGACAGAGGGGCACAGTCCTGCTGCTTGCTCCCTGTTGTGTTGGACAGAACGATTTTCTGTTCTGCAGTGGAAATTGCACTTGAGCTTACTTGCTTAAAAAGAAAAGACGGTCAGTGCTTTACTTTATATCTCACCTGGGGATCAAATCACTCAGCAAGACAGGACAGTTTTGCGGTGTTTTTTTTTCCTTCTATATCTCACTTTTGAGGGAAATAAATTTCCATGACAGAGGATTAAATACTATGAACGTTTTTCTTAGGTGGATTTTCCAACTTCTGGTTTGCAGCTACATTAATTTGTGGGTGAAATAAATATTTTGGTACTGAAAACTTGCCAAAATGTTGTTTAACAGGGAATTGCAGTTTAATTAGCACTTATGAGACATTAACAATAATTGTATTAAATTTGGCCACTCAGGGTAAAGTGTGATTCAGGATCAGCTGGTTGGTAGTCTGGGAGAAAAAAAAAAAAAGGAAACATTGCTGTGTGGTCTAGTGAATGTGTGCCATTACCTTTGTTCATAGGTAGAAATTCTTGCAGCTCCTTGACTCTTTTGTTTTGTTTTGGTTTTCCCCCCACCCCCCGTGAGGTGTTGTGCTGGACTGAGAAAAAGTGGAAGGAACTTGTATTAACTGGTGGAAAATGGTTTGACTTCAAGATCGTGCTTTTGCAGGGAGCTGGATTACAGTTTATCCCTGCTATCTCTTTTGCTGTGATTTTTAGGAAAAGTGCCAAAAACTTTAAAAAATTTTTCCATTTACTTATTTATGCTTTGCTTTGCCAAGGAATGAGAAAGCCTGCCACTTATAGCAAGCTTGTGAACAAGAAAGGCAAGGGAATCTAGGGTGAAGTTTGACGTGGAGGCTCGAGTACAATGCCATAAACATCCCTTGAATATTTCTTTTTCTCTTTGCACCAGAGTTCATTATGGTCTCAGAGTTTGTGGCTGTAGGTGAAAATGAAGACAGTGCCAGAAAATTGTTGTAGTTTCAAAGGCTGGCTGAGAACAGAGTAAACAATCTACATGCAACTTAAGCGCCTGTTTGCGTGCAGGTTACCACACAAGCCTAATATATACACCAGCGTGATGTAAGGCAGCGGAGATAACCTGATTAACAAAGTCCTCTCAGCAAGTTGAGGAGATCCCTGCTGCACCAGTGCACCCCTCCTTGGGGACCTGCGACTAGTCCCAGCTGAAGGAAACCTTCCCCACAGCAACAAGAGCTAGCAGACGGTTTCTGAAAATGGCAACGACCGTTCTCGGTGTTTGTGTATGAAGACGAGGGAAGTAAGGGGAGTAAAGAGCCCGCGCAACTTTGCAGGATAGCTGGCATATTATGAAAGATGCAACGTACATTACTCGGGCTGTGCGAGCTGTGTTTGCAGGAGTTGTGGAGCAACTGTGTGTTTGGGGAGGTTGCATTTCAGCAAACAGCTCTCTCTGTTTATGCGTTGAATGAAAGCCATCATTCAGCAGAAAGAAATGCTAAGGCAAGATAAGTAAGTGATCTTCCAGTTTGTGAGCTGTTGCAGCCTTGCTTTTATGCGTGCTCAGCAGGCAGAGCTCCACGGACTTGAATGGGAACCCGTGGTGCTCAGCACTTATTAGTAAAGTGTTTATTATTCCATGTCAGAGAAAGAGAGACAAAAATTTATGTACATAAGAAGACGTGTAAGATACAAGGCTTTTTATCTCTCATGTGAGTATGTATAAATATACTCAACTTGTACAATTTTTTTTTGTTATTTTGTGCATTACTGTCCATGGAGAGTGTGCAGGCTTGTGTCAGTGACCCAGGGCTTTAGGTGAGGAGTGCAGGGCACTATTTCTGGCTCTACTCTAACTACTTGTGTGGCCAAGTGTATTAAGTCCTGCTCCTGAAGACAGTAAACCGTTTATTCGGGCTTCATTCTCAGACTTGCTGAATACCCCAGAAGGCTGCTATTCTTAGAGGGAACTGCCATTCCTTAGCCCTGAAAGTGGGCTGTCCATAAATCACCAACACATACTTTCCCTGGGGAGGTGGGATTAGAACCTCAGCTTTCTCCGTGCCAGCCTGCAGAGCTGGCAAAACTCCTGCTTTTCCAGCCTTTCCACCGAGGGCACGTGCTCCTGGTCACGAGGCTAGCGGTAGATGTGGTGCCCACCGGACTTTGGGCTCCACACAAGCACCGGATGGCTTCCCATCGATTCTCTTGGTGTCATGGTGGGGCAGGCCCCCTCGTGCTCACCATGCCAACAGCCTCCTGTTGAGCTGTTTCTGCTTTTCTTTCTCCCCTTGTTGAGGTGTCCCTGGGGGATTGCGCTCTTCCACCATGCTGGGTGTAGGTGGGGACAGACGTCCCAGGCTAGCACAGCTGCGAGCTGACCCCAGTGCCTAGGGCCAGGTCACAATCAAGCTCTCAGTCTGTGCCATTGTTTCTTTTTTTTAAACAATAAATGCATCTCTGTGGCAACAAAAATATCGGTACCCTTCTATAAATGAAGCTCTCAAATTTGTCATAGTTACAGACTGTTTTGATGACAGTGCCTGTGCCGATATTAGTTCTACTGTGATCTGATCTGGCTGTGTCCTTGCTCTGGATGTGCTTCTCTATAATAGTACTTTCATTCCTTAGCTCCCAATAGTGCCTTGATGAATAGTGGAAGATGTGTTTCAACAATTTTATGATTAAAAAGCAACATCGTACCGTTGTTTGCTCTCTGGTGCCTTTACACTGTTCGTTATGCTCTGCCTAGGAGTACCAGCAGTGATTTAGAGTTGCAACATCAACATCAGTCTCTGAACCTTGTGTTTTCTTTAACCATAAATTCTGGGGAAGGAGGAGAAAGGAGCATGAAGGAGAAACTCTTAAGTAGGAGGGTTTGTTCTTCTGACATTTCCAGGCCGGCCGTTTGAAACTGTGATGCCTCACAGCAATCAGAAACATTTACTCCTAACTCTCTCGTTGGCTTCACGGACAGGAGCCCCTTGGGCAGCTGCTCTGGAGCACACTTGGGCAGGGTTGGGAGGCATCGGCTGGGCCCAGGGCATGCATTTATACTCCAGGTCCACTGATGTCACCGGCGTTCGTGCTAATGGCCTTAGTACAGAGGTCAAAGACTGCTTAGATATGAAAGCTGAATCACCTCCTTATTAAACCCCTCAGCAGGATCAAGGCTTAGGGAAGCAGGCACGTGGGCTTGCCTTCTGGCTGAGGGCGTGGATGGAGAGTGTGACTCTGGGACAGGCCTTTTGGCAGTTTCGGCCAACCATTGAGGCTTTGAAATGGGGATATCTGGGGATGAAAATGCTCCTGTACTGACACGCCTATGTGAAAAAGCTCAATTCATTCATTTTCTTTAAAGATTTGTTGATCCCACAAGTTCTTGATAGAGGAGAGTTGTCCTGTGACCTGAGGGTCACAGAAATCAGTGGTGAGCCCGTCCATCTAAGCAGCCAAACGTGAAAGATCTTCAGCTATGCTTATTTCACCTGCAAACATGAATAAGCCAGCAGCCTAAGCCTCACTTCAGACCTGTTTGCCTTTACAGTCGCATATACGTGCATCAGAAGATGGTAGCAAAAAGGCACTGGAGGGTCATCCAGAGATTGGTCTCCCCTCCACCCGTGCAGGCAGAATGATTTGGACATTACCAACATGGTAATGGCCTGGCTTCTCTAGGTCCCTGTGTTTTGAACAGTCCTGCCTGTGAAGGGAGCTTGTTTTGGAGAGCTGTGGTGGTGCAGTGTCCTGTTTTTGGAAAACCTGTGTTTTGGAGCGGTAGGCAGGAGAGACCTTGGAGGAGGCAGCTGTGGCTGTGTGCTTTGCTCTTGTGACTTGGGCTCCATGGAAGCAAGGGAGTCCCTGTGTTTCACAATAAGATGCAGGAGGTTGGTTCTTAAGCCTGCTGCATCTCTGTAACTTTTGGTAGGTCTCTGGATCACATCGTGCCTTTAGTTTCTAAGCTGTAAAATAGGGATAGAAATTAGGAATTTAAAAAAAAAAAACACACAACAAAACACAAACAAACAAGGCCTTGAGGAAACATGTAGTTGTAACTTGTGGTGCCATCACCACCACAGGCTCTCATGTTGGTTTGACCTTCAAGGCTGTGCTTTGATATTGATAACATTCAAAATTTATCATGATATGAATGATTGGGAACTTAGAAAATATAAGCTTTTAATTTTTTTTTATTTTAATTTTTATTTCAGCAAATTCAGTAAAGCTAGAAATGCAAAGTGATGAGGAATGTGACAGGAAGCCCTTGAGTCAGGAAGATGAGATCAGGGCTCATGATGAAGGAAGCAGCCTGGAAGAGCCCCTCACTGAGAATAACGAGATGGCGGATAACAGAAAGATCCAGGAGCTATCGAGCGAGGGAGGAATCCGGCTTCCGAATGGTAAACTGAAATGTGACGTCTGTGGCATGGTTTGCATTGGGCCCAATGTGCTAATGGTACATAAAAGGAGCCACACTGGTAAGCAGCTGAAAGAAAATCTGATGACTGCCTGTGGCATCTGATGTTGATATTACCTGACAACTCTTCTCTCTTCCCTTTTCATTCATGGGGTAGCAGGAAGCTGGGGAGGGGAAAGAGGGACTTCATTGCTTTGGTTCTTTTCCTGCTCCCCAAATTCTGGTGATGCTGTGTTTCTAGCAGGCATGGTGATTCCTTGACATTGATTTCCAGCCTTTGGTGCTTAAAAACACCACAAAAGTCTGGAAAATGCTTTTATTTTGCTGTTCTTGACCACAGGCAAGATGGTGAGAGTCATCCTCTGGATTGGGGGTGTGCGTGTTGATGTGTGTGTGCATGTGCAGGGCGTTGTGAGCCTTTAAGGTGAGCCTTAGGTGGTCTTCCTTTGGAGGTGCTCACAGGTGGGCAATGCCAGCAGCTTTCTGGGCATCTCACTTCTTTTGCAAGCGGCTGGGCCCGGCAAACCTGGGAGCAGTAATCCCCGCAGGGGACGCTCGTTATCTCATGATCCTGATGCCAGGGTGGGCTTGCTGCTCATCGCGTGACAACTCCAGCAGGGAAGCTGCCCCTGCACTGTTCTTGTGAGCTAGTGCTTGGCTCTCCTCACCATTCAGATGCCGTTTTTGTGGCACCTTTCAATGCTTGCATACCCCTATAATTTATTTTTTGTTACTGTTAGTACAACTACTGTTTGGGCACCAAACCAACTTGCTAAGCTTATGGATTTCAGAATTCAAGAGGCAGACAAAACCTTTATGATATACTGGTTGAGTGGATCTTTGAGGTACGAAAGATGAGACCTTGAGTTCAAAACAGAGAGTTTTGGGGGAGTTTGGACTAACATGAAAAACTGGAGTCCCCCGGAGGCTGCTACTCACTTGCCTCTGCTGCTCCCCAGGTGGGAGCAATAGTTTCCTCCAACAGGATAAAAGTACAGAGGGTGCCAAAAGACAATGCTCTCTGGTCTTGCAGAGGTCCACCTGGCAGAGCCTTTGATTCAGAAAAGCACTTAAGCTTGTGCTTAACTTTTATGAGATTTAAGCACCTCTAAGTCACCTGAAGTGCTACAATATATGCTTAAGGTACACACTTAAATCTTATTAAGATTAAGCACAGGTTGTGTTGGAGCCTCAGTGGATGTTTGTTCTTCATATTTTTTGGACAAAATGAAAAATACTTTGTTTTTTATTAATGTTAATGAACTGAAAGACTCACACTGAGATATCTGTGAAGATACAAAAGTGAGATTTTAAGATACTTTGTGTAAACCCAGTAGTTCACAGTCAAGTAGCATGGTCTTGCTGAGAAAGAAATCAATAGAATTTCTGTACAGAGGAATAATAAATATATATTACATACTTAATGCCCTGCATATAAGCTTTATTGATAATAACATAAATATATTAATGCAAAGCATTGCAGTATCATTTATGATGTGGTCCTGATTTTAGACAGCAATTGCAACAGGGGAAAAGCATTAGCCGGAGAACCAAAACCTTGATTAACAATTTGTTGTGCTATTACTAGGAAAAGGAAAGAGAATAGAGAATTTAACAGACTGGGTCCCCAGCTTTCAACCACCCTAGAAGTTTTCCTTGTCACTTGCACAGATCTGAGCATATGTATTGTAAGTGCATCAGGGTCCACGTAATTCAACTCGAGCAGCTAAATTAGAGCTGCTAAATTTAGATTTAGGTACTTAATTAAATGGTCTGCATTTTTTGAGGTACTGAGTGGCTAGCGCAACTTTTAAATACAGACAGGCTACCTCTTTCATGTTGAAGAAGACATGCAAATTTAAAGCGAACCGAAGAAAATCTCATCTGCGTGCAGGCAGGACGGCTGTACGCGGGTGCACGGGTTGGAATTGCGTAACTGGTAGCTTTTTTCCTTCAGGCTAGTGCTGCTTCCTCGTAGAACTCTGACTCTCTTCCCTTGTGAGCAAAGGAGCTGTGATGTATTGCTCTATCCAGATGATTTCAAGCATATAGAGAAGGCATTCCTTTTAATGTGCAGCTCGGTGCTTTGCTCTAAGTAAACCAGTTGGCAAATTTTGTGGGGGATGTTTTTTTTGTTCCCCCACTTTGTTTATTTGTTTTTTAATACATGCTGCTGCTTCACTGTCCACAACAGAAGGAGAAATTTGCTTGGATTTCCACATCCTTGATTTTAAGAAGTATTTTTAACGTGCTGGTATCTATCCTTTCAAAGTGCAGTATTTTTAAATACATTGCCACTTCCTCGGCAGCCGGGTGCGATGGGCTGGCCCCAGCCCTGGAATGAGCCCTGACCTGTGGGTAGTCTGGTTTTGCAGCCCAAGGGAGAAGGATGAAGGGGAGGGGAGGTTGTCCCTAGTGAGTGGAAACGGATGATATTCTTTATCAGCTAATGCAACTGGCATGTAAATCCTTACCTCTGAAAGCCAATTTAAGTATCTTTTGGGAGCTGAATCCCGCCTTACTCTCCTCTTTATCTGTAAACAACTAAAGCGTGGTCTGGCCAGTTGTTTGCATTGGCAAAAACTAATGTCCTTTTCACTTCCCCAAAAAACTGTCAGCATTCTATGTAAATCACACAGAATGCTGTGGTCCATCGTAGAGGCTGTAATTTGCATGTGTGTTGGGACGAGAGTGTGGCTTTCCTTACGCCAGGGACCCAGGCTTTGCAAGAATCTGTGCCCTATGGCTTTGGCTGTGTTACGCACGTAAAGGGGCGCTGGCTTCTCCAGCCGGTTTTCATCTGTTCTGAGCACTGCTTGTCTTCCCTGCCACATCACAGGAGTTCAGTCAAACAGACGTAGGGAGGGCGAAAATTATCTGTGCCGTAGATGAGCTCAGTGGCCCATCTCTCATCCTTATTTGCTGGAGTGTCCATTTTCTGGGATTCCCACAGTCACCCCTTCCTGTGATAGACCAAGCTGGGAACTTCCCGTTCATCCTTTGCGAGCGCTGCCTCATGCATGTGGTGCAAGCGATGCTCTGCTCCGCGGCATCTCTGTCACGGAGCCCACGATGCTGCTCATCGGGTACAGCCAAACACAACATTTCTCTGAAACACTGAAAAATCAGGTGAAGCATTTTTGTAATCGGTATGTGCATCAGGAGAAAATAAATAAAACGCTCAATGTGGGAATTAAGTGTGATGTACTCCTTGCTTTAGCAAGTAGAGTAACCTCCCTGCCCCTTCGTTCACGTGCCATATCCTCATGTCAGAAAAATAGCATGTGTCAGGTTTGATTTATTTCCCCCCTTTCCCATACTATCTTCTTTTGGTCCAAATTTCAGATTCCACAGCACGTCCTGACTTGCAACATCTTTATCAGAGTGTTTTGTCCCGTGGGAGATGACTGTGTGCATAATACTGCCACTGGGTACTCCTGGGGCTTGTGCTTGGGGTGTTGAGGAAAGGGAAGAGGAAGAGGAGAGAAGGTCAATAATCCACTTTGTCTGAGGTGATGAAAAGGAACCAGTGATTTCTCAGCTCTTTATGCTTTCTGCTAGTGGGCCTGGATTGAAATTTCCTTGCTCCTCGTTTTTGGTGAGGCAGAAACCAATTGCTGGTACAGCTGTGCTGCTGCCTCTGTGATCTGTGAGGTCTGGACATGGTTCTCCATTACAGTATGAATTGTGATTTTTCTCCACCATAACATCCAGTCCCTTTATCTAGTCCACTGCTGGATTTTGGAACACTTTATTTTTAAAGGCGGGTTGGAATCGTCTTCATTTTTTTTAAGAACACCCAGAGGTTAAATGCTTGCCTCACTCTCTCTTTGGGCCGCCGGTAGGTTATTTTTAGGCTTTTTTGGGGTGGTAACTGCAGGGGGTTCTCAGATCTTTGCTTGCACTCCACGTGCATTTTACTACCATTAAGTCAGTGAAATGAGATACATTCCATGAGGAAAATCCTCAAGTTCTGCTTTAGCATCCATAGGATTATAATTGAACATATGCAACACTAGAACTCTGAATGCCTTTTTTTTTTTTTATGTAGAGTTCAGATTTTTGGGACGCAGTTAATAAAGGAGGGAAAATGGTATTGTGCTGTTCAGTACAAAAGACTTTAAAGCAGCTAACCAGGAACCAATTTAAGCAAACGATCGTATTAACACATTGCAATTATCTCTGCTGGGCTACCTGTCTTACTCTTCTAGTAGAAAGGTTTTACTGTTTTAATTTGTTACCTAGTGCAGCCTCCTACCTCTTGCAATATGAGTCGATTTGGCACTGAATCGCAAAATGCATGGCTAAATTTCTAAAAGTGATGTTTTATACTTAGATTCCTACACCCAGCTTCAACAGAAGTCTCATTTTCTAGTGAAGTGTAAGGAAGGAGAGCTTAGATCTTTGAAATCGCTCTCCGCATAAAGATGTGCTCTATTCTCAGTACTCAGTGGTAAATTCTTCTGATATTTTTGCCAGTTCACGTAAAGGATTTTTTTTTTTTTTTTTCTCTTAAAATATGGTCATAAATTTGTGTACCGAGGACACTTGGAAATCACCCAGGATTTCCCAGGAAACTTTCCAGAGAGATTTGTCACTGCTGTGTTGTAATAAATTACCCTGTCTGGAAATAGGTTTTTCCCAACAAAAAATCCTGATTTCAAGTGATGCGCGGCCTGTGAAGTAACTCTGATGGAACAGTAAGTAGGTGTGCAGACTAAATAGTCCCCAGAATAACAAATAGAGAAATGAAGCGAAGTCTGCTGCTCGATATCTCGCTTGGACTAAGGCAGCATGTTGGTAACAGAGTGCGTATTTCATTTGTGCTCGTGGGACAGAGCAGCATCACAGCAGTCGCAGCATCTGATTAATCAGGAGAAATGCTTAATTTTCACTGAATTTTAACAAAAAGCCTACTATGGAAGGGCGAAACTATTATGAATATGAGCAAATGCTCTCTGATGAGCACAGTAATTTTGCATTGTTAAAAATAATTAAGCTTCTCAAAGATTATATCCCTTGCATACCAAAAGTATATGCCAAACAAAAAAGACTGAGATCTTAGGATATACAGTTCGCTGGGACAGGCGAACTCCATCTTGGCTTTCCTTGTCATGGTGAAGAGACTTTAAATACAGTGTTTTTTTAAGAAAAGGTAATTAAAACATTCACAGGAAGGGACTCGAGCACTGCTGTAGAAATAACCAGGCCTCCCTGTTAATGAAAACTAGTGCCTTACTTTGTCTGAATCTGATTTCAGAGAGACAAAAGTTACCCACCAAAAGTTACGAAAATCTAAGTCTCCTTGGTTGGGAGGCTCTTTGTCCTCAGTCAAATTTGTGTTTTGATACAGAAAATAGCACTGATGTATTTTGCACCGATACGAGATTCAAAGAAGGATAACTCATACTGAAACTTCTGCGCAGCACTTCCGTGCTGAGGCGGCAAAGGAGAGTTATTGTGCAGGGAAGCTTCCAATTAAGCAGAAAAAGGAGCTTGTTTGCTTTTTGAAATAACATCTGACATACGCACAGTAACATACAAAAGCTATTGGTAGGAAGTTAATCAGTTCATTCGCCTGGTTTCAGGTTGTATCAGCGTTTGTAACTTGTGCTGTGAAGACTCCAGCGAGCTGCCATTTATTAAAGATACCTATGAAAGGACCGTGTTTGTGAAATAACCCTGACTCGGTTGGTCCGCTTCACCGTTCATCTCAGTATTTGTTTATGCAATAGGAAGTTAACTTGTGCACTTTGGATGCCGGATGCCGGTGTAGCTAAAGAGCAGTAATATCTCATTATTATTTTTCCTGGAGGGGGCATAACTGTCATGGATGCATATTAAACAACAAACTGTCAAGTTGCAGCAGTGTTTTACTGTAATTTAGAAGTAAATATTTGTAGTCATACCTTTTAATTAATACTTTATTTAACTTTAAAGTGATAAAACCCCATGGATTTATTTATTAATTTGAGGGCTGTTCTCTGGCACAAGCCCCTCTTACTAAGCCTTTGGGAAAGGTAATGCTTTGCAGCTCTGACTTACCTTACCTTGTCCATTCCTGAGGTAACTAGATAATTAAATTCCCTGTGCTGGAGAACAAGGCTTTTTGGACATTCTTGGTTTTGTCTGGCTTTAGTTCTTAAATCTGGAGATGAAAAGAAACATCTTTTTTATTTGGTTAGCTGGTTAGCTGTTCCTCCTCCTCTTCCCACTCAGAAAGTCTTTTTTTTTTTTTTTTTCCTTTCTAATCACTAAAGTTTGAGGTTTTCCTGCACTACTTTAGCTCTAAAATAAAGAAAAGGTTTAAAACTTGAAGTGGACTAAAAGTATTTTGCAGTTACATTACAGCCACATAGTTTCCAGTGCTGTAGAGCAAAAAGCTTGCTTAGTCACCTTTTTGCTACATGTTCTTATTTTAATAAATCAGTATAAGCATATAGGGTCATACAAATGGTGAAACCCACACCATGCTTATAATTGTCATTACCCTCTTTTACTTGTGTGTGCCACCTACTTCCTAGGTCTCTAGTTTCTGTTATGTCTGTGTTGCCATCATCCCGAAAGATAGGAAAACATTTTAAGCACAGTCAGGGACTAACATGTAGAGGAGAAAGTTGTTTAAAGACTTTTTGTGAGTGGATGTTTAGTTTGAAGAATGATTAATTTCAGTCAATGAATAAAACCTTTTAGTTTTCGCAGAAGAGTAAGGGAAGTGACTAAGGAGGCCAAGATGGTTATTTTGTTATTAGGAAGCGATAATACCAGGGAATTGCTTACAAATCTACCAGGAAAAGGCAGCAGGAGAAATAATTGGAAAACAGTCTTCTCAAGGCACTGCAATGATAAAGAAGGCTGATTTGCTAGTATCTGGACTGGGTGTCACACAGCACGGTTCTTGGAAAATCAGCAAAATCTTCTTATTATTCAGTCTTTACATTTTTTGTGTGCCCTTCTATTGGATAACGGTCTCTTAGATTGGCTGTGCTAAATGTAAAATCAATAGCATGAAGGTGTGACTAAAATTAAAAGTTATCCCACAAGCCTGCAGCTTAAACAAGGAGCAGGAATTGAATGACTGGACAAAAGTATAACAAGCAGATCAAAGCAGCTATTTACTGAGACTTAAGCCAGTAGAAAAAAATGAATTCATGCTGGCTTTAAATAGATACAAAGGTCATTTAAGGTAAAATGTGCTATTGGAGCAGATTCTGTCTGTTGCAAGAGAGAAGCAGACTATCGGTGACTTTGTGGTGAGCTTTTTTGTGTCATCTTTGCCATCCAGCTGTGCTGCAGTGACTGTTGAATTCCTGACCAAAGGCTTTTGGTGTCTTTTCAGCTGCCAGTTTACCAGTTTATCTAGGAATAATACCTGCTCACATGCTGCCTCCAAGATATCAAATATACGTGGGTGAGGTAGCGGGTAAGGCATAGTAACTGTGTAGTTTTAAATACAGAAGGAGTAAAAGGAGAAAGACTTGAGACTCTGTAAGAACTTGCTACCTTCTTTAGTGTTGTCATCCTGAAACTGAAGCTGTCATTCCTGAATACTGAGAAACGTGTCAAAGGATGGGGTTTTGCCTGTGTTCTCAGACAGCGAAAGCAAAACAAACAAACAAAAAGTGTATTTTTCTACTGCAATCTCTTTACATGCCTCTGTTATGGACATTTTGAAATGATATAGAAGATAATGGCTAATCAGTTTCTTTAAGTGTAGTGTAGGAGTTTGAAAGGGAAACCACAAACTCTTTATCAATTCCAATAAGCTCATGTTCAGTGTGTTTGAAGAAGAGCTTTGTGCTCTGATTTTTCTTTTATCATTACTCCATAAAGTCCTTGGCAAGATTATAGGAACCTTAGTGTCTTCTTCAGTGCATCTGCAGTGGTTTCAGATGTAATTTCCAGCTCATGCATGTGAAGTTGCAGAGGTATGGCAAAGATATGGCACACCTGCCTTCTGCTGCCCTCTTGGCAGGGCTGTAATGCTGGCAGTGATTTAAACTGCTGAAGCAAGAATTGCTTGTAAGAGCTGTCTTGCTTCCTCTCTTTCCATTTGAATCTACAGAGATGTTCTGGACTTTACACTAGGCACCTGCATTACTTTGATAAATACATAGCATTCATTTTGTCCAGCAAGGGAGTAATCATTTTAAAGCAATTGAAAAAGGCTTTGGAGGGATGTGACAGATCACAAAACGTGTTTGTTTTTCATGAGATCTGTGCTTCAGGCCAGAGAACTCAACCTCAGAAAGTCCCACTAGGATTAGATCAAGATTCTGTGATAGGTGATGCACTGATAAAATAAATGAGGCTGCTTACATCTGAAACCTGATGTTCAAGACCTTGCTGAACTGGGGCCCTCCTTGGTGAATACGTTTTGGCATCCAAAGTCCAGCTGCAGTAAAGAGCTTAGGCAACTGGCCAGCACAACTATATGCTTGTGCCCTATTGATTTGCACAGTGGGACATACGCAGATGATTGGAACTCACTGCCAGCCTAAGAATGCTCGAACAGACTGACTGTCACCAACAAATGTTGACATAGATTATGGCTTTGATAATATTTCATGAAACCTGGGTGACTTTGTCAGGGTTTTTCCTCTAAATAATAACTTTTTTAAAAAAAAAAAAAGTGTTTGTTTTTTATGGACCAAATCCCCACCGTCCAGGGCAAATATGAAGGATTGACATCAAAATAAGTTTTGTGTGTTTGTGTGTGAATGCATGGGGTGAAGGAAGGGGAGAAGGTGTAGAGTTTCTGTTGGTTTCTTTTTGCTTTTTTTAAGTGAAACAAGTCTTTTCAATTAGTTTGATTTAGAGCACAGATTTGCTGTTCGATGGTGTAAGATATTTCTCAGTGTTCGCTACTGCCCAAAGCTTGTGGGCCTGCTCCTTGCTTGCATTGATTCTCTTCATACCATTCTAGCAATGCAAAACATCCTTTAAAAAGGGACATCAATTAAAGTATAATGCAAGCAAAAGCTTTGGTTTGAAGCAAAGACCTTAACATCTGTCCAAATCCAATTGTTATGTTCAGTTGTAAATACTCGTATGGATTTGACCTACACTAAAAATAAGTGCAAAACCATAGAGATAAATACTGTGAAACCACATGGGTCTACGTTTTGAACAGAGCTCATCTTCTTTGAAGGATAAAATCTCTGAGGTGGAGAAATTTTAAGAAAGTCAGTCTCCATTAATCACCTCAAGAAAAGAGCCTCAAATTACTGTTGGAGGCTTTGCCCATTGTGCAAAAGAAGCAGCTTCTTCCTTCAGCAAGTGCTGTGTGATGGTGGGGGACTGCACCTGGGCAAGATGGCACGGTTAAAAAGAGCGGGATAATGGGCCTCGTGCATCTTCCAAGGTTTCTTGACAGCTTTCTCCCTTCCATTTCCCTTCCAGGCGAACGCCCCTTCCACTGTAACCAGTGTGGAGCTTCTTTTACCCAGAAGGGGAACCTGCTGAGGCACATCAAGTTGCACTCTGGGGAGAAACCGTTCAAATGTCCCTTCTGCAGCTATGCCTGCCGACGAAGGGACGCCCTCACAGGACATCTCAGGACGCACTCCGGTGAGCCTGCCTTGCCTTCTCTTTCTCTCTTTCCTCGTGTTTTTTTTTTCCTGTTGGAGTGAAGCAGGTTGTGAAAATAACTGTGTTCCTGGTGGCTCTGGGTCTGTACCGTCCTCTTCAGATAGCACAGCTCTGAACTTTGGGAAAGCAGTGATGCGAACCAGGAAAGTTGTGGTTCAGCCACACCTCTCCTTTTGTGTAACCGAGCTCCACTTGCTGATGCTATCACGTTTCCCTTTGAATGTCTCTTTGGGTGTATCCAGGCTCTGCTGGCAGATTATTTTGACACTCTCAGCCGCAAAGTGGCTGCGAAATTCCAGAGGTCGAAGAGAATAACCGTGTGCTCTTGGAAGCCTCTCTTGCAGTTCATACCCATTTCTTCATCTAATAAATGCCATATGCTGGTGGAGTTCATGCTTGTTCATCTTCTAAAAACCTCCTTATTGCATTTTTTGATTCAGTTACATTCTAATTGACAGCATCCACAGCACTCACCCTAGTGCAGGAGGTGGTGGAGAGAGATCAGGGTTGTGTTGCTTTGCTACTTGGTAGTGTCACATCTATATCAAGTCTACTTGATAGAGTTTCTTGAGATGTTCTAAAGAAATACCTGTTGTACAACTCCTTGTTAGGAGTCACATCAGTAGCCCTGATGATTAGGAACAGATGTGTTTCTAGTCTCTGTACGCTACACCAAGGGGCCACGTTCTGCAACTTACTCATCTGTGTAGGACTCTGAATAAGATCTTAACTTGCTTCGGTTTTTGTCTTCTAGGCTGTTCACCTTTTGTGTTCAGGCCACTTTTAGGAGACTGTTTTTCAGTGTTGAATGAGCAGAGATAATTGAGCTGGTCACAAGTGACAACATTACAGATGAACTTTACTGAGGTGTTGGGAAATGAGTGACTACTGAAACACAGTGGTTGAAGCGCAGCTGCAGACAGAAACCCTGCGTGAAAATGTAATCATGGAGCTTCCTGACTCTTTCTACACGTTTCTTCTACAGGATCAGCCTCGCTTGAGTAGAAGTTTCTCTTTTAGGAGCATTAGGTTGGTCTTAGGATACAGAGTTACCTTGACATTTCCAAGAATCTGAAAGGTTGAGCCCAGAAGCTTCTCCAGGTAGACTTTGGAGTACATGGGGGGCTGTACTGATGCAAACATATGGCTGACTGAAAGCGGGAATGCAACGTGGGACTAGGCTGAGAGAGAATTCCTCAAGAGTTGTCAGCAAAGAGAGTTTGATCTGCAAGTCAGAGGGGAAAATGTCCGTGGAAGTGAGGTGCAGTTTTCACGCATCTGATCAAACATAACTGTAGTTTCAACTCAAAATTTAGTAAAAAGAAAATGCGATAAATATATTCACAATTAAAATAAAAAAGGGAGTTGTGGCATAAAATAGCCCACATTACAAAACATGAACATTGTGGTCGAGGATTGTTTTCATCATATGAGCATAGGTTTTGTTACCTAGATAGAGCCATTGATAGAGATTGTTCATTCTTCCTGTGTGAAAATACATGGGTAATATATCTGCTTTTTGCTAGAGGATGAAATGTAAAGGTGTGGGATTTTCAGAAGGCCGCTAAAGTGCTGAAGCGCATGAGTTCCCCTGAAGCTCCTTCCCTAACTGACTTAGCTGTGCTCAATTTGTAATTTTGTGTTTTGTTTTCAGTGGACAAAGTATCACCCCTCTAAGCAACTGCAACAGTTTTCAGCAGAGGGTCAGCGGGAACGGAAAAGTGCTCCCACAATACTCCTAAAGACAATTCTTAGAGCAGCACTCACAAATGAAGAGTTAAAAACCTGGGATATTGCCCTAAAACCTGACACCCACCTGCGTGAGGGTGAGATTCCAATCGGAACATGGGCATGGAAGTTAAGGTGTCTTTCTGTCTCTATCGTGTAGGCAAGCTTGGCTGACTCAGGCGTACATACGTGAACTAGGTGTTCCCTAGAGAGTTGAAGCAGTTTGGTATCAGTGTATAATACCAGCAATTTCTGCTATAATAAAGTGTACATCGAAGTCTCTGAGCAGGCCTTGAATGTATAGGAAACCTAGTAAACTTCCTCAAAGGTCTTTCCCAATCAAAATTAGTCTATGAATGTTTACCTCATATTCTATTGCTGGCTAGAAGAGATGATATTAGATAAAATATAGAAAGAAGAGGTTGAAAATTATTTTGAATTATGAGATTTCAATCCAGTTTCAATCTGGTACACTTAATGTCTAAATTGAAGTGAGTCTGAATGTTTCTGTATTTTTAAGAGGAAAACTCTTTAGATTGGATCCTCAACTGATATAGGTTGGAATTAATCCTATAAGTACTGCGGTTTTGCAGCAGCTAAGAATCTAGCACATGATTTCATAAATGCCAGACCAATTTCCCTTTTTATATTGTATGTCCTTTTCCTCCTTAAATAAGACAGTGCTATTAATAAAAAAAACCCAAACCACTGTTTTTTCTTTCCCAAGAAGGGTTTAAACTACTGATTATTTTTTATGAAGGGGACAGTATGCAAGAAAGAAATTGGAAAATGGCTTTTTGCATCTTTTTTTTTTTTTTTCTCCCAGCTAGTTTAATCTGTGAATTTGAAAGCATTTTTGTTTGTGCCACCACTTAGTCAGCTACACTCTCTCACTATTGCCAGTTAGTCAATTTTTCCTGTGCTTTGTGTAGGGTTTTCTTATAGTAAGGCAGGAAAGGCAAAAAAATAACGAAATGTAATTGCAAACAGAAATTAGCAGAAGCGTCTCAGAGGTATTTGAAATAGCTGAAACTTAAAATAATTTATGATAGGGGGTTTTTTTGCTTTGGATGGATTTTTTTTTCCTTGCTTTTTAGTATTATTTTCTATTTATTTGGAAATATTTCTAGACATCATAATCCACATTTTGCCTCCCCTTCTTGTGCAGAATAATATCTTGCTATTTAAGTGTTCCCAGGGTGAGTGGTTAACAAAATATTACTTTGCATCTGTAATGCTGCTGCTGTTTAACCCTAAATAATTAAGGGCTTAGCTTGGAGTGTTTTACTCCTGCGATTATTTGCCTTCTACTGACATATGGAGTTCTGATGAACTTTGTGTCTGTATTTTCCTCCCACATGCAGCTTCTTTGATTTCAGGAATATAATGATGCCTTCAGGACATCAGTAGCATAATGCCTGGGGAGAGATTCCTGCACAGAATTACACTGAGTGGGCATGAGCCTTAAGGTACTTACAGGACTTTCAGATGTTGTTTTCAGAATTAACTCCGCTGGTTCCACAACACAGATAACGCAGAAGTGGTGCCTGGATGGGCTTCCAGGACGTGTGAGGACCAGACTGCAGAGAGCCAGGGCAAAAGTTGTAGCCCCTTCCTGCAGGATGCGCTTGACAAACCAGGAGGGATTGGCTTCACCTTGCCTAGCTTTTGCTGTTTTTAAGGAGGAAAACATGCAGGTAAAGCCAATCTCCTGGTGTCAGTCACAGAGTACCTGTTATCTCACCCTGAGACTCACTCATCTTCTCCATCATCTCTAGGATTGCATGACAAGATAAAAGCAGAGGCGAAATGGATGAGGTGGATTCTACTGTAGGTAATTAATGAACAAAACCCAGAAGTTTTAAGGAAAACAGTTGATCTGAGAGATGAATCTGACTGTTAAAGCACCTAAATGTTGACCTCTCTGCTTTGAAAGATGCGATGTACAAGTTGATGCTGTCTTACCCTGAGCAGCCAGGAACCCCCAAATGGGCACCTAAATTTATGCTGTGTTTTGACATGAATTTCTCTTGTGTCTAAAACGGAGCCAAGTCAACCCTCCTCTCATAATACTGTTGTAAACATAAATGCTTTGATAGTTCTTAAAGAAGTCAAGGCTGCAATGTTGAGCGATCTGGAAGAGCCCAGAGAAAACATTAATGCGTTAGTTTTCAGAGCAGAGCTTGGGCAGTAAACCCGAAGTGAAGGATAGCTAAGGGGAAAACAAAACACAGAATAGATTTTGATTAAGTGAGAACCATCCTTCTATCCTTCACATTAGGCAAGGGTGGTCCTGTGGGCAAACTGTGTTGTGATTTTTTGTTATTAAAAGACTGTCTTGTCATGCATACACACAAACTGGCTACATGAAGTGTTCTCAGGTGACCTTAATTATGGAGTTTCCTGATTTTTCTCTTTATCTTGGCAACTTCAATCACATGCCCTTACTGTGTGAGTATATGAGTGATATTCCTTATATGAAAGCAATTTTACTGTTTTATTTCTTCTGAAAAAAAAAAAAGAGTAGTCGGATCATTATTTTCCCCCTTCACAGCTTTTCCTCACAATACGTTTTAAATTTGCTTCCAAGCTACTTCTTTCCTGTTTAGAAAATGCTTTTTTCACCCCTCCTTTTCTGCTTTTAACAAATACTTGCTTTTTCCTCCCCCACTTCTTCCTGCGTTGCTGCTGTATATTGTTTGTTACTGCCCAGCTCCTCAATAGCACTGAACTAATGGTATCGTTTTATTTGCAAAAGAAAAGCAGTGAAGCATTTGTTTTGAAAAGAAAGGCTTAGGCAAAAACTCTCAAAAGCACAATCTTAGCAAACTATGAACATGCACAAGATAAAAGGCATGTATAATTAAAGAGGTAACTGCTCTGTTCGTGGAAAGCTAGTTTAGTAACTTCTTCTGTGTTTCTTGGTTTGCCAGTCTATCTTTCTCATCTCTTCTCCACAAGAACTTTCTTCTTAGCTCCTCCAGTGTGGTCGCGAGCCATTCGAGATGTTCTGCGCGCCTGCAATTGCGTGGCTGTTGTCAGCAGAACTGACGAGGGGTATCTGTGCGTACGACTCTACCCAGAGGCAGAAGGAACCTGCTTCCTAATTCTGACTCAGTACCTGTTGGGAAGTCATCACACCTGGGATCGTCTCAGTCCAGGTGAAGAATTGGATGAACAAGCACAGTGCTGAAAAGCACAATGTTTGTGCATGAAGTTCTGCCTGGCAAAAGCCAGTGAGAATTACTGAAACAGTGGCAAGGATGGTTATTAACAATAATGAAGAGTCAATGTTTTAAACTACTTTTTTCATCTTGAAAAGATTTTTACTGCTATTAACATCCCTGCTCTCAAAAGGCCCAGTATCTACTCTGTAACCATGTTTTTGAGGATGGAAACATCGTAATTAGAAGAATCTTGGGACCTGAAATTCTCATTACACTCTGAGCTAGACTGACTCAAAACACATTGTGAATGGGGGGAAAAAATTAAATGTGAACAAGTAGGACACTGCCTGTGAAAAATTAAGCAAGTGTGTGAAGAGGTGAGGGGATATTTTGCATACAAATCCCAATTCTGCAAATAAGTTAGCAAACAGCGTCTTCCTTCTGTTTTGATGAGCCAGTGGGCATTTATTGTGTTGATCTGAGACTTAGAACTCTATTTAATCAGGCAGAGCTGCTCTTCCTCTCAGGTTTTCTTACACTGTTTCAGTTAAACTCAGTGGAATTAAACTCGTCACAAGATCATTTTGTGTTTTTTCTTAATCGTAATCCAGGTTCCAAGCTGTTATTAGCATGTACACAATACTGCAGCAGCACTGCTTTCTCATTACTGCTTCCAGTGCCTAGAGGCCCTCACTCTGTGTTGTAGTCTCAAAATCTCTGGTATTCTGCTTTCCAGTTGTTTGTATGTGCATTTTTTGGAGGTAAGATCAAAATGTGTGCAAGGGGTAGGAGTTTGGTATGTCTTTCATCCCCTAGGCATCTTTGTTTAAAGTTTAGTCCTCTATAGAGCCAACTTGTATCCCGGGCTTCACTAAAGCCCCATCTGAACCTGATCCTTGAAGTAGTGGAGTCCTCTTCACCTCCAGAACATTTCTGTGACAAGTATTAGTATCGACTACATGAAAAGATCATCTTTTATGTACTCAGAATTATCTCAGTGTGCAAGTTTGTTCATGCTAAGCCTTTTCTACAGAGCATAATTATCACTAAGAAACTATCTTTGATTTAAAGATGCTGTAGGGTCATGATCTTTCTGGACATTTCCAGACATTATGACATTTGGACTTTGTTTTGGAGGGAACTTGTGAAAAAATATGGTTCCACTCGAAGCAAGAAGTGTTCACTTTTTGCTTGTTGGGCTTAACAGCCTTGAAATTCCATAAGGATTCTCTCTTATATGTGGTAGTTTTGGATCAGTCTTTGACTGTTCAACCCAGGAGATCTGTTTCTGACAGATAAGACAGAGAAACAGGAGAAGGGATCCTGCTGAGCAAAGGTGGATGTGCTGTGTATCAGGCTCATGAATCTCTCTCTCTCTTAAGGCTGGGTACCAGCTTTTTTTTTCCTTTTTTTCTTTTTTTTCTCCCCTTTCTCCAGGGTGTGTTATTGAGATGACAGGGGAACAGATGCTGCACAGCTCCCTGCTTCTCGTGGCGCCCCAGTTGTAAGCAGGAGGTGGCCTGTTCCTTGGGGGCTGCCTGCAAATTGGCTGAATACTCACCCACTCTGCAGCGATGAGATGCCAACACCATGGGAGTCTCCTCATTCTAAATATCAGTTCACAGCAAGTTTAGCAGGTGCTAAGATTTATTGTGGTATCTGTGAGACAAGTCTTGTGCCTCCTGCTATATCTCTCGGTGGAACGTGGCCTTGCTATGTCTCTGCCACTTGCAGGTCTACCAGCAAGTCCTTCGTTCTTCAGCAGAAAGAAGGCGGAGAGCAGGTCTGTAGGGAGGTTGCATCATCTCCTCCTCCTCCTCTTCATCCACGTTTCCTCTCCTTAATGAGCCAGGGTGGCAGAATTATGTGTTTGGTGTCAGGTTAAGGTTCTGGACCCTCGACAAGGAACGGTTTTGTGTTAAGGCAGGAGGTCCTGCACCCCAGGATGGGGAAGAGCACTAATGGCCTAACATTGCAGCTTCACCAAGTTTCCCCAGGGCAGATTTCAGTTCTGCTGTGCAGCAAAGTGCTCAAAAGGAGTGCCCATGCTAAGATGGAAGTGTGTGTTTGGGGCAGGACTGCTGACAGGGACAGGTTTTGGCGTGTTTCTCTGTCTCCTCTCCACATTAGCAATCCACATCCTGGCATCAGCAGCCAGGATCTGCCTTTCTCTGTGTGGCCTCTGGCCATATACAACCAGAACGGAGCACCTGGTCCTGCCCTACTGGGCTGCTATTTGGAGAGAAAACTTCTGCACTGCTGGGTGATGCCAGTTCTTTCACCAGCCATCCTACTTTGGAGGAGCAAATGAGATGGTGACTTTCTTTTTCCTCTGGGCTTTTTTTCTGCCAGTGTGCTATGTGTGGGATTTCACTGCCATCAAAAAAATAGATGAATGCGATAAAGACTTCTGCATACAGAGTCCTTCTAAACAGCAAGCCTAACCTGTTTTTTAAGCATCCAGAGAGAGTCTGTTGCTGTCTCCTCCCTAGGGAGACAATTCCACTTCCCATCTGCTTTTTATAGCTGTGACTCTCATCCTGAAATTTAACCTAAACTATCCTTTCTTTTGCTGCAGATTATTGTGCTTCCTAACACTGTCTTCTGTGACTGTGAGTAATTCCTGTGCTCAGTTTACACTGTGATAGGCTGTAGTCATATGTCTGGAATTGATGCTGTTCTAGTCTTTTTTTTTTTTTTTTTTTATTGTTACTGATTTTGAATTTCTTGCTACTCTTATTCATACATTTACAAGGGACCTAAACTGCAAAGTCATTTTATGCTTTGGAAACACAGGCCAGTTCAGGTGCAGACCACTTAACCTCGTCTCTGCCTCAGTTGCCTGTTAATGAAATCAAAATAAAAGAGCACTTCTCAACTTTTTCATGATGGTGAGAGGGCAACAGGCACAGATGATTGGAAGGTGCACACATATTGCTGCAATGAAGGTCATGTAAGTACGTATCAGAGTATTCCCGTGCTTCTGGTGCCCCTGCTGCGTAGCATTGCATATTATCTCCTTAGTTTTACTTAGCCTTTGTGCAATAGTGAAATGAGATAATTACAAAGTGGAAGGAATAATAACTTGGTATTGTTACTGTAACCACTGAGGTATTATACGCTGATAGCAGCCCGATTATCTTAGACACAATAGTAAGGTGATTATTAATAATGCTAAAGGACTTACTACTTAGCCTGCAATTTTTGCGTCTTGTTTCTTTTATGAACACTATCTATTTCATCAGCCCAAAGCCTGTGTGAAGTGCGTATGTGTTGTTGCCTCGTTGTTATCAATTTTTCGGTGATGGGAAAATGAATAAGAAAAAACCCCAATGAGATGAAATTTGCAAATTCAAATACCTAAGTGCCAAGGTGGCTTCATGTGAATCACTTGTCTTTCTGCTCCAAAGCTACCATGGGCAGGCTGGCAGGTGAGAGTCTAGTTTAGCAGCTTAGATGCTCCAAGATGTGGAGTCCTTTGATTGTTTAAGTTCAAGCTACAGAAGCCTCTTTTGGCTTTGTTTGCCTTATCATCAGGGATTGTTTCACAAGTCCAGTATTTTTCTGTTCAAGCTGGCATATTTACATATAAAACTGGAATTCGGGGTGCAGCTGTAAACACAGGCATTGCACGGCCAGGTTCCAGACCGTCTTGAGGAGCTAGATGTTAGAATAAGCTTGAGGGATGTGATGCAGTGCACCAGGAGTCCTCCTGCTCCAGAGGCAGCCTTCTGAGGTAGCTGTGGTGGGTTTTGCAGAACAGTTTCAGAGCTTTCTCGTGCACTTGAGATGAGAACTTGAGTTGACTTGATGAAGCCACATATCAGCAAAACCATGACCACTTCTTGCACATGCTCCTGAGCAGTGAAGTAGCAGAGCAGCTCTAAGGAGGAAAAAAATATTTTTTTCCCCTAAAAAAAATATTTTCAAGGGCAAAAAGCTTTTGCATATTGCCTCTGAGGAAATAAGATCTAGCATTTGGAGGTGGTTTTTATTGATTCTTGAGGGAGTTTGTGAAACTTTTCTGCTTGAGAAAGTTTGAGTTTGGAATCAAATGGTGGTTTGAGGCCATCTTTCACTGCTGTCTCACAGCTGTTTTATGGGGCAGTATGAAATGGAGAACCGCCACTGACATTTTTTTATAATATATGAGTGCTTTAAGGTCTAAGAGAGATTTTTGCTATCTGGAAAGGAAGCTGAGAGAAACTAAAGGGTAAAAAAATAACCCCGTTAACACCATGCCGTAGCAGAGCTGCAGAAAGCTGCTGCTGATATATTCTACTGAGCTCTCAGCAACCAGTAATTATGAATTGGCTTACAGGTAAGATATTGATGGATATCACTCAAGAAGGAAAATAAGAATGTCTAGATTTTTTTACAGTGAACCTGTACTGAACTTTGTGTGACTCTATTTATAACCCTGTGTGAAGTTCAAGGAAACTTGTCCTGGAGGTTTCCCATGAGAGGGAACTGTGTTTTTACCTGACTAAAGCTCTCTGGATAGTTTCCCATTTTTTATTTGATCTAAGTGTGAACTTTCTCCACCCTCTACCCCTCCTTCCTTTCTGGAGTGGTTAGAGAGGTTGATTACAGCCAGGATTACACAAGAGGTGCCAGTTGCATGCATGTTTTGCATAACTGTGCTGTGTTGATTTCAGACAGGGTGCCCCAAGTTCCCTCTGTGCCTTGCAACAGAGAGGCAAGATCTCTATCTTCATTCCTGAAGCTGGAGAAATGCTGTTGAGGCCCTGCCTGTTGAAACTCTGACAAAGAGCACCTGGCTGGGACGCTCCCCAACCACACAGTTGTCTGTACGCTGCAAAGTGCGTGCTTTTGAGAAAAACCTCTGCCTAAAGGTTGTTCGTTCTTTTTGTATTCGGTACACAAGGGTCGCTGTACCTCTGTGGGCAGTGCTGCAAGGGATCAGTGGGGCAGTGTAACTCAGTAGGGTTTTTGGTGTAAGGCAACAGAATTCCCCGGGAGGCTGCTGCTGCCCTGAGAACCAGCTATTCTGTATGAAGGGTGG